AAATATAACATGATCAAAAAAATTCAAAACAAACGCATGTTTTGTCAAAATCGTATACTTTTCAAAAATCAGTATAATAAATCACCTTTAATACTTTAATAAAAAGCTTTCGTTACTATATAAATTACCTAATGCTGACCCTAATACTAATATAAATGAACTTTAAAAAATATTTGCTGCACCACAAACCTTGCATATGTTCAAGAATTGCTATTATACCAACTGATCTAGCATTACCAATCTTAGATTAGGATTAGGTTTTGATATTAAGTTGAGTTATAAAGAACTCTAATAGTATTAAAATTTTACAAGAAGACCTTTTTATTAGTACGCAGGTAGTTTCATAGATAAAATGTTGAGTTATAAGTGATTTTTTGGTTTGTTTTATTTCTCTACATTATACCTAATCTTGAAATCTAATTTGCTAGTAAAATTTTTTCAGTTGGTAATGCTAGAACAGTTCATCATACTGGGCAACAGCAACATGAAACTAGCATACTGCAATGTACTATAAACATCATGACAATAGACTGAAAAAACTGAAATACCACATACAACGATACCAATGACCAAAGGACAGAAAAGACTACATTTGACGGCACCAACGGCAAAGAAACAGAAATATCATATACGACGAAAGAACTGAAACACCATATACAGGTGACAAAGGAACAGAAACACCAAATTCAATGCTACCAACAACAAAGAATCTAAACACCATAAGTGACGAAGAATATAGGTGAACAAAGAAACTAATACAACATAAGCGACAACACCAAGGATAACCTATTAACAGCGATACTATTAAGAGTAAGTTACTGTAAAACAAAAAAAAAAGCTATTTAAATTTTTTGTATTACATGTGATCGTGTAATGTAGTGATCATTACTATGGGTGATTTTAATTATAATTCTATTGTTTAAATATAAATACAAAACAAAATTTGATATAAATATAAGTATTTATTATATTAAAATTAGGGTTTTAGAATTTGGTGCATCTGTATCGCGGTATACCCTAATCACATAATTCAAGGTAAGACATTTTCAATAATAATTTATATTTTTTATTTTTTATTTTTAA